CTGATATGGAAAAATAACTGACAGCTCAAGCGCTGTCAGCTGTCAAAACCAGATGTTAATACATTTGTTAGTGTTTGCATGATTAGGTGCCACCCAGGACATGCATTGAGGGAAGAATAGAAAACAGACAACACCTTAAACATGCATATGGGGATCATGGGAGTAACCAGCGGCGTATTTACACTTTGTGCTGCCCCAGGCAAGACAGCCCCCTGCCGCTCGTCCAGGTGTTAGTAAGCCGCCGGCTGCGCCCCCGCAGGTCGCCGTCCGGGTGCTCATAAGCCACCGGCCGCGTCCGCGCAAGTCGAGAAGGGCTCCGGTTCTTTCATCATCTCTGAACCGCGACGCTAGGCGTTTGCGTACGGCGGCACCAGCGGAGCAGCCGCCCCGACGGAGGGTGCCGCCCTAGGCAAACGCCTAGTTTGCCTCGCGGTAAATACGCCCCTGGTGGGAGGCTCAGTTTTTAGGATTTGTTCACACTTCTTTACTAGCATTATGCTAGCACTTAGCATGTTGCTCTGATCCCTGATAATTGTACTCCACATACATAAGTCTAAAAGTTTAGAGCTTAAGATGTATAATACTATGTGAAAAATCAGATTGTAGCTAGATATTGCTTTCTGTAGCTTCCAGGAGGCGAACACTGAACCCCTTCCCACCTGCAGGAGCCATCCTTTTTCATTATCGTAATGCCAGCTCATCTCACGTGGCTCCCGAACCAGCCTGCTAATCACTAATGTAAGCATAGTGCAAGTGCTTAGAGAGGGGGGAGCATTGTTAGTTGAGTTGCTGAAAGAGTCAGTTTACATGACGTCCGTGCTTCCACTCTACACATTAAAGATGAATTGCTCTACAGTGCCTGCAGCTACAGAGGTCAGTGATTAAGTGAAACAAATGGCAAACACACTCATCAATTCATAACTAGCTTTAACCTCTTGCCGTCCGCCCGTAGTAGAAAAACGGACGGACGGCACTGCAAGGTGCACATTGAAGGGCTTTAAACAGTACAAAGGTGAAAATTCCCCAACATACTCACCAGCCACCCAATTCACTCTTTGCTATATATGCTCCAGGATGGAGGCTCTCATAGAATAGAGTTAAGGTGCCCACACACCTTACGATAATCGTACGATAATCGCGGGAAATCCCGCGATCGTACGATTATCGTAAGGTGTGTGGGAGCCGTGCGACCTCTGCTACTGTAAGGTCGCACGACTTTTATCTTAGGAACATGTTCGAAAACCCGCCGAGAATCGTACGATTGTGTAGCATGTTCGTAAGATAAAAGCCGGACGGGCCGGTGTCCGCAAGCACACATTGCCCGTTCAGCATTGCGGTCATCGGACGCTCCGCCCCTCAGCGGGGCGGGCTTGCGATCATCGGAAGTACGATCTGCCTGTCCAAGATGAGGGTCATTTTTTTCACTGACAACCAATGTAAGGGGCATTCTTTCCAGTGACGATCAATGTAAGGGGCATTCTTTCCACTGCCCATCAATGTAAGAGGGGCCTTTTCATCACTGTCTCAAAGGGGGGCTTCTCTGTGGCCATTATTTGTATTTGTTTAATTTCATGATTATTATGGTAAATCATTTTCTCATAATAAGCAGAAGTTTAAGAAATGATCCACTCTGGGTGTCAAATACACCAGGTAGGCCACATTGCTTATACTTTTATTTATTATTATATTTACAACTTATAGATTATGTTAATGCACCCTGATCTGTAGATATAAACTACAATCAAATTTACAATGTTGAGAGCACCATTGCTGCAAGCATTCATTATTGAAAGAATGTAGGTTTCACTGAAGATGGATTTGACTCTAAAGGATAGCCTCTTCATGCTTAAGTCAATAATATTAAAAAGTCTTTTCTTTATTCTGTGTTAGAAGAGTACAGGTGAAACTCGAATAATTAGAATATCGTGCAAAAGTAATTGCAGTAAGTGCTGCAAAAGGGGCCCAAACCAAGTACTGAGTACATATGCATGCTTGTACTTTTCAGAGGTCCGATATTGTTCTATGTACAATCCTTGTTTTATTGATTGCATGTAATAATCTACTTTTTTGAGGTTGTGGATTTGGGGTTCTTGGGGTTTTCATGAGCTGTAAACAATAATCATCACAATTATGACAAATCACGGCTTGAACTATCTTGCTTTGCATGTAATGAGTCTATCTCATATATTAGTTTCACCTTTTAAGTTGCATTAGTGTAATAAATGAACTTTGCACGATATTCTAATTATTCGAGTTTCACCTGTATTGCCACCCCACCTCCCCAACTGTTACTGAACTAAAGGGGCTTTCATGTCAAAGCCAAGCAGAGGAACTCTAGTGATAGAGCCAGTGCTTTACCATGATTTGTTATATCTGCCTGGTACCCTTTAGCCCTGTATCGGAAAAAGAGAATGCTGCCTATGGTGAGATGGTTGCTCTTTTATTACAGAATAAAATAAGCAATGAAACTTGTATTTTTTCCCAGGATTCCTGTGCAGCATTATAGCTGCACAGTGTGAGGAACCATAATGGTTTGTATTTATCAGAAAATGCTGAGTATGCTTGTATATGTTGCATCATATCTGTTCTGTGTGGGCACAAATGTGAAAATATTCAATATGCAACTGTATTTTTTTTTTTTGTATCATACAAAAAAGTGCTTCTCCCCCTCCAATCATGTCTCACGGATGTCCATGCTTTCAGACAACTGAGAATTCCAAAGTTATCAGGTTTTTTTTTTTGCTGCCTTTTGTATCAGGGCCAGTGATAAGAGGGAAGGGCTGTGTCTCTGGGAAGATATTGGGTTACTAGAGCAGAGCTGCCGGTAGCATCTGAGAAGTAAGAATACAATTACCTCTGGATCTGAGCTGTGGCTGCTTCCTATATAATTCATTTATAGCTGAGCTGACAGCAACAGCAGGAGCAGTGAAGTCTGTCGTGGCTATAAGGAGACCATGTCCTTCAGGTTGTCTCATCTAAGGGAAAGGTAAGTAGAGTATTAAATAAAATGCTTAAATTGTAACTCCAGCTTTCTCACACATTTGCATCATTTACAGCATGCTGATGTTTAACGATTAATTTGTGAATTTTACATGTTGATTATCATAGCCTATGGAAATCATTTCATTCTATAAAGCTGCGGTCCTCACATGCCAATGAACAAAATCTGGACTTTTCCTTAGGGCATACAACTCGTTTAAACCCAGAGATACACAAGGATGTCACTTCATTGAACTATCTGTGCATCTGCTGTATTATGCATCTTCTATATACCTGAAGCCAGTCATGGGCTGCCTGATTAATGTCTTTTTATGAAGCCATCTAACATTATAAACATTTGCACTTTCCTAAAAGCAATATTTTTGGCAAAAGTTAAGCTTTTTATACATTTTATTTTATTTTACAATGTGGGTCACATGCTGACACATTTTGGCGACCTCTGCTTTGATAGTTTGTATGTGCATATACAACATGTTACATGTTTTCCACTTATTAAAGGAGAACTTCACTTTTGGTGACCTTGTGCTTTAAAGTCCAACTGAATCATCTAAATAGATTTTGGATGCTTCAAAACTAAAGTGTGCAAGTCTCAACATTTGTTTTATGTAGTAGGCAGCCGCAGCCTGAGTAGAAAAGTCTGTCCCCTGCCAGCACGCTGTAGAGAAGGACCTTGCTTTCTGTGCGGAAGCAGTGATCTCTCTGCAGAGGTTTGACACTTCTGCTTTTAGGTCAGAGCTAGAGCATGAGCTTTGCTGATTGCAGAGCTATGGGTCTAACCTAATAGGGGACGTGTGGAACCTCTGCATAGAGATCACTGCTTCCACACAGAGTGCAAGGGTCCTTCTTTGCAGTGTGCTGGCAGGGGACAGATTTCTATTCAGACAGTGGCTACAGGCTTTGCACACCTTGCATTTTGATGCACCTGGAATGTATTTAGCTTCTCTGAAATGAGAATTAATTTGGGCTTTAAAATGCTCCCCTTAGTTTCCCTTTTCCCATTAGTGTAGCCCACACAAAGTACTTCAGTCTTGCTCCAGAAATCTTTACTGTGAGGCCCTGCACTATGCCGCACAGACTTTGCACCAATGAAGACCCAGCTGGGCTCTGCCCCTAATGCACATACACACCATGGCCTTGCCCATTTCCATAGTAGGGTCATGGCTGTGGCTTCAATAAGTAAGTATTTTACTATGTGGGTTACATTGAGGGAGAAGGATTTAAAGACCAATTGTACTGAAAGTGAAATTGTTCTTACAATAAATAATTTGATGCTGTGTTTTCAAAACATGTCCCAGTAGGGCACTCCGGCCCTCCAGCTGGGGTGAAACTACAAATCCCATCATGCATCTTCCCCTTGAAGTCATGCCTGTGGCATGCAGAGTCTCAGAGTGCCTAAGGGGATTTGTAGTTGCACCACAGCTGGAGGGCTGGATTTTGCCTACCCCTGCAATAGGGCATACTTTGCAGATATCCTAACATGAACTAGGCTGGAGTAAATAGAAATGCAGTAATGCAGTATTACTACCCGTGTGGTTATTTACTAATTACAAACTATTGGTAGTATTCGAAAATGAATACAGAAGCATTTCTAAAAATATCAGTATGGGGACATGCTGTTCAACCTTAGGGTGACATCTTTCACCTGGTTGTATCTGTGTTCATGAACTTGCTGTAAGAAAACTAAAGTGAAGTTTAGGGAGATTACAACAGAAGAGGCAACTGCTATAAAAACAACAACAAAATAATGATGCTTGTCTCATGTTTGCTGAAGGTTACTCAAACGTTCCATAGCTCTAGTGGGACACTTTTCTGTGGACATCAGTTGAAAGGTTTGGTGGTATATATACAGCTTAGTAAGAAAACAAAACACTTTATACAAATTCAAACATTATCTCAATGGAAAAGCAATTGTACGGATGTACAGTATATTAGCCCAAGGCTGCTTTGCTGCAGGGCATGCAAACCTTGCATTCATAGAGGGACCATTACAGTATATATAGGTTGCATTAATAGATTCTATACAAAAAATAGGGTATCTCTGATCTAAAGAAGTAGTCATGTCACATGACAAGAAGACAATATGGCTACATAAAATGTTGTTTGCTGGATAAAAGTCTTTATTAGTATGATGTAGACAAGAATTTGGGGAGACATTCATGCAGAAATCCAGAAAAGTCTTTGGGATTTTCACAAACGTTTTTTACAGTCATGGATAATAGATGTTATTTAAAACAATTATTATGTTGCCCTGACAAGTTTACATGTTGAAAAGTTGGGGTTATGCTTTAAGGTGTCAAGTCATGATGCTCAGCGCTAAGTTTCATACAGACTCTCTTTTAGTCCAGGGAGCGACCCTGGCATAGACCTTGGCAGTGCCCTTCCTCCTGAATCACCTCTCAGCAGCGTGGTCGGTGATGAGCGCATAGACTACATCAAGGAGTTGGCCTTTAAGTCCCTCAAACTCAAAGCTGAGAAGTGGAACAGGTTCATTTCTTCAGAGGATAACCAGAGGCTGCTACTGACCTTCCTCGAGGTTGCAGAACAAAGGAAGCTGATCTTCTTTACAGGTCCTGGGGGCACCCTACATGCTGCAGATGAGCTGGTGAGTGTAATGTTTGCTCTGGTTTAAGCATACAGTCATTTAACTACACCTCACAGGCAGAAAAGAGACTGGTGGTTATGGTTCATGTATCAGAGAAATATAGTGTATGTCACGTGATCATGTGTTTTAAAGCATGTCTAAAATCCAAAAACAAAAATTTTATATATTGCAGCTTACCAGTTCTTAAATGTGGTGGCTGCATTTGTTTTCTTTTTAAGGCTTTTTGCTCTTTATTTTCACCTGGTGATCTGACCAGTAACACACTTCCTGTCATAGGGTGACTCCACTCTATGGAGAAGCAACGGAGCCACCCCTGCATTGTCACCCCAGCATTGTCACCCTTTGGAGAGAGTAGTGTTAGATGCTCTAGCAGATTTAGATGGACTTGACTAACAAATTAAATCTGAGTTCCAACGAACACTATTTTAGTAGTTACAGGAAGAGTCCTTTTTTCTTTTTAGGATAAATAAATAAAAGCTGACCATTGTAAGCACCCCTGTCAGTGTTAAATGGTTTGTCTCAACCCTCTATGTGCCACTTCTGCTGGACAACTTGGTCTGTTAAAAGAAGTTGAAAAATAACAGACTTACTGGCCAGATCATCAGAGGGAAAAAAGGAAAACAAGCCTAAAAACAAAAGCTAATGCAGCCACCAAATCTAAATAATTGATAAGCTGCAATATACTGTATTACATTTTCACCAGTTTTCCAGTAGTCAGCTTCCTAAGTAGATCAAGGCATTTCTAGCTTGGTGGCTAGGGGGCATTGAGTGAGATACACTACAAACCCTTCTTCTTTGGAGGCCTTTCAATGCATGTCTTCCTTTTTCTTTGTAAAGCTTCTGCTCAGTGTTCAGGAATGATGACTACACCAGGTGTACTTTACCTATGGCAGCTGCCTTTCAGTCAAACTCAGTTTGTTTGGTGCACAATTTTCTCTGGTCTTATGAACAATGGCCCTCTTAGTCCTCTATCCCAGCCCACAACAGGGCTCCAAGGGGATTGCATCAAGAGCCTGTCCAGAGAAATAATTGTCAGCTATCTATATATGTAAAATATCTTTTCAAATCTGGACTTTGGTATTAATGTGACCAGAGAGAGGAAATTCATCTTTGTGTGAGGTGTACTACAAGCTGGTGGGGGATGTTTGGTCCCTCTTGGTTGCCCCTACACCCACCAAAATGAGTTTCCATGATTACATCTGGGGTATCTGTTGGTGAGAGTTTTAATGCATGCTTGTAACAAGATCCTATGAGATATGACATGTCGTACCTTGCTAAAGACCAGCAGGAATAAATGGCACCGCCAGTGCGATTAGCGTTCGTGTGCGACTCCTTGACTGCACGGCAGGGGCTGACTGGCAACTTTTAGCCCAGGGGGCAAGTACAACCCAGAGGCCCATGGTGCAGCAACTTGGCCCCCCTCCCGCTCTGCCTCTTCCCCCGCCTTCTCCAATCAGTCACGACTCCCCACAGGGATTCCTCTCCTCCCCACTCCAATCCTCCAGTGCTGACTGGAGGAACGGACGGGGACGGAGCGGGTACAGCTGGATCTGCCTCTAGATAGGCAGAGCCAGCTGTCACTCACACAGCTGGGTGGATCTTGACAGCATTGTCGGGATCTGTCCTGGCTGCGGCGCTCTCAGTATACCGGGAGCTGTAGCTCACGATGTACTGAGCTTTGGGTCATGGGAGGACGCTAGTATATGTCCTCCCATGACCCTTAAAGGAGAACTATTGGGTTAAGGCTTTTCCCCATAGTTCTCCTTAGGGTAACGGGAGGACACAAACTAGCGTCCTACCTTTACCCTAAGCTCAGTATACCTAGCTACTGCTCGCGGTATACTGAAACGCCGCAGCTGAAGCGGATCCCAACAATTATACCGGGATCCGCCCAGCTGCGTAAATGACAGCTGGCTCTTCCTATCTAGAGGCAGAGCCAGCAAACTATGAGGTGAGTGAAAATCACTCACCTCATAGTTCTCCTTTCAGAGAACTATGGGGAAAAACACTTAGCCCATAGTTCTCTTTGATTCATGTACTTCCCTCTCCTTAAACACACTGCTTCTTCGAAAACATACATGGGCATGTGGGAGCGATGTTGGACAGGACAGAAGCATGTAACAAGTGGCTGCAGTCCTATCTAAAAGCAGCAAAAAGATTGCCAAATCTCACTGCAGTCTTTTATTTTCAGACTTTAAAATAAAAGTAACCCGCAGGCTTTCTGACTTTTGAATTTCTGCACAGTTGTCTCCTGAATAACGTTACTAACCACTGACTGAATGCATTTGAGGATTTCTTTATTCATTTGTCATTGATGTTCTTGCAAATTATGTTGCCCCCACACAGTTATCTGTGACGTGGAGAAGCAAGCTATTCTGTTTGCTAAAGAAAATGCCCAAGAAAATCTCACAAGTTGACTTTAAGCCTGATATTGTTATGTGTGAAGTCTCTCACTTAGTACTGGAGCAAGTGTCTGTGCTCATCACTGAGGTAAGCTTTGGTCTATAGCAAGCTGTAAGCCATTTCATAGTAGATGTTTATAGCTGGCTGCAATACAGATTTATGCAGTTCTGAATCAATGGTGTCAATGGGGGGGTATTTAGTGTTTTTAGTTAATTTCAATTAATGGGCTATTTATAAACAATTTGCAAGGCCCTTTACCCTGCAAATAACTTTGAAAGTTCATTTTATGCAAACAATGCCAAAAGCAAACATTCTTAATATATTTTCTTTACATGTACTGTAATATATACTCCATTAGATAGAGCTGAGGAGTGTAGAAAATAAGTATTTATTTCATTTGCTCCTTAGTACCATCTAGTGGCCATAATGCAGTACAACATCATGATACATTGGACCTGAAAAGAAAATATATTCAGGACGTTCCCTTTTGCAATTATTCACACAAAACGAACAGTCACAGATATAAGGTAAATGGTCCTGTAAATTGTTTATAAATGGACCCCTACTTTTTTATATACCGTATATATTTTTTTGTGTATTTGATTATTATAGATTTTTATTTCACTTTTATCCGCTGCCTGCTTTTCTCTTTCTGAGAAGAAAAATGCAAAAGAATGAGGCTCGGAAACAGGTCCAGGATAGTTAAAATGAGCATATCAAAGGTGTCATTCATAAAAGTTCCACCCAAAGTATAGCCTAACAGACCCCGTTCTTAGGGCCCAGTCACACCATATCTAGTGCGTTTCAGCGCAGTTCACGCCCGGAACGCACTGGATCTCATAGATCAAGCCGAGCAGCGTCCTGCTCATAGATCAAGCCCACAGTGTGATCGCCCGCACAGGAACACGAGGTACAGGAATGCCCTGCGTTCCAGTGCGGTGCGATCTGAAAAAATAGTGCATGCAGCATTCTTGTACCTCACATTCTGGTGTGGGCGATCGCACTGCGGGCGGTGGGTGGCATGTCTGCAATGCCATATGATGTGATTGGCACTGATACGCCCCCCTCCTGCCCCAGAACACTGCCCGGCTTTATCTATGCAATCCAGTGCACACTGGATATGGTGTGACTTGGCCCTCATGGTACTAGCGTCCCTAGATGGCACTGACATGGTTAGGAATTTTATAAATGAAGCCCCAAGTGTCCGTCCAGTGTTTTATAAAAACATGTTGCAATAACCTGCATACAATCTCCAAATATATTCCATACTGATTTCTAGCTGCATTGCCTTTACCAGGTGCTGCTTACAATTCTTTCAAATTCACTGATCTATAAGGATTGGCCAAAGGACTATTTACAAGACATACAAAACCATGTTGAGAAGCTGAAGAGTAAACTACTGAACTTGAACGGTCTCATCTCAGGAAGAACATTCTTAACGCTTCCTGCAGTTCCAGAAAATGGAGAGATACATATGTGAGTTTCCTAATTTTCAGTTCCTTCTATATGTGTCTACAATAGTCTGTGTTGCATTTTATTGCCCTATGTTCCAGGCCAGCATTGCGTTGCTGCCAAGTAATACTGGGGCACTATACCGAGGGCAGTATATCACATAACAAAGAAGATGTTTCTTGAGCAGCCTGCACCATGCTGTCATACTGCCCAACTTTTTGAGATGAGAAAGAGGGACACATTACAGCGCAATGTATTTAGACTATGGGCGCACCCCTTCCACACCCCCAGTTATGCAGACTATTCAGAATTTATATCCCAAAATACACCCCAAATATTTTTTCTTTTCACCTTTACTTTTCCTTTGGCTTTTTGAAATAGCAAACAAGAAGACGGGAAATGAAGGGAAATCTCCATGAAGAGGGGATATAATCCTCCCTTACTCCAAAACAAAAAAAAGTTTTGGCTTCAGCTCCAGTTTAGGAGATAACATAAAGGTTTTTCGTGCACTTTTGGTAGTTAAATAGAACCTTTTCATAGATATGTGTACATCAAACCAAAAAGAGGAACACATTAATTTTAGACAGTCTATGCTGCACCACAGCAAAATCTTTCTTTGCAGTATGCTACCATCTTTCCAGTGTTGGATTTGTAGAAGACTGCTAATACTATAAGTCAAGGGACATATGGTGTGGCCTCAGCCAGGCCATTTTAGCATCCCCTTACAGATTTCAGGGTTATCTCTGAATAAAAATAAATAAGTTCCGCTGATTGCTTTGTGGTAGTTACAACTGGTGAGTTGTAACTACCATGAAGCAATCAGCGGAACTTATTTATTTTTTATTTTATATAGATTTAGGCAGCAGCATAGTGAGTGCACAGTGACACTATGGACATACTTGGGAACTTTTAGAAATTGTAATTCCTGAAATGGTGGGTCGGGCAGTGGGTGGAGCTATGGTAAGTGTGTTCAAATTGTTCTAAAAAGTGGGAGTGGCTTAAACAATAGGTCCGAAGTCTACAGAATGGTGGATAAGTGGGATCCAGGTGCACTGTGGTGCACCAATGCAAGAGGGAAGGAGTTAATTAAACCTTTCCCCCTTGCATTGCTAGGTGGTCAGTGGTATTGTTCATTAACCCCTTCCTCCTTTGCATTGGTGGCACCGGCAGTAATAAAACATGGGCCTGCTGCCCAGGGAGGGTAATTACATGTGGAAACTCCAGCCGCCGGCAGAGAATTATGTCATTGGATGGGACTATAGTTCATCTGTTGGGCAGAGATCACGCTGCCTGACAGAGGAACTAGTGCGCCTGGCTCTGGCTACCTGTGTCATAGTGTCCTAGGCAGCACCCAGTACCCCGCTGTCAGTCTGCAAGGTCCCTCTCTCTACCGCCCTTTCCTTGTCCTGGCTCTGCCTCCTCCCTCTTAGTCCTCCACTTCCTCCCGCCTGTGAAACCAAAGCGCAGCATGCATAACTCATGCACACTGCCCTTTGTTTCTGTTTATATCTCTGGAATAAATGACATTCTGCAAATATAAAAATTTCGGTAATGACCCAGCAGCTGGATCAACATTTCTGGTATTGTCGGGTTATTTCCGGCAAGATATCACCCCTGACTATGGAAAGTGCACCAAAGGTGCAGCAAGCAGGATTGTGCAACACCGTACCAAAATGCAGAGGTCTGCATTTAGGCTATGCTGAAAAGTGAAAGCTGACACAAGGGGTAATCTATAGTCTTTAGTTTTTGGTTAAGGGGAAATGCCACCTTTAAGAAAAAAATAATAAAAACACACATCTTCATAAAAGAAAAAAATTTGTATTTATTGGTTTGCATAATAGCCAGTAAAGCATTGCAACTATGGTGTAAAAATATCGGTGTAATTAAAACACAGTCAGAAAGGTGAACTTAGCCTTTAAAGGGTTTCTAAAGCTAAACCTTTTTTTTAGTTTTGGATAGAATGGGTAAAATGCCTGTAACCCCTTGGAAAGGTTTTCTCTCTGTATTTGATGATTTGACGATTGTCACAGGGATAGAAAATAATAGGAAATATAAAATGTTACAGTTGTCAGCAGAACAGGAGATGAGGGGAAGTATTCCAGTGGGGACAGTATTAAAGAAATACCAGCACACCAATGGGTAGTGTGAGAACACTCTTGCTTCTCCTTTAATCACGTATAATGTCACATCTCCAAGCGCAATGTTTCGAGGCCGTGCAGTGTCCCCTTTATCAGGCTCCTTTATCTGCATAATAGGGGTATCCGGCAAGGTGTGCGGCAGTATCCCCATGGACATTTGGTATTCCAATGGGGGACACCCGTTTAGATGACAAGTCTACAAAATTTGAAAATGTGTAAATTTTTGAAATTTACACAGCAGGACATAGATTAGGGAAAAAAAAAAACTATCCAAAACATACAAAAACAAGTTTTGGATAAAGACACCCTTTCATTATTCCCCAGAACAGGAATGGATGAAAAAAATATGGCTGTTGCCCACACCAACCATCAACCAATACTTGATTGGTCAATAAAACAACATAAATTGGATGGGTTACCATAGCAACCTCTTTGGCTGGACTCAGTAAGGTGTGCACAGGGACCCAGCACATGATTATCTTTTTGCTTTGTTTGGTGGCTATAAATAAATGTGACCAGATTAAGTTCTCTTCTTATTCCCGTGTCAGCATGACCCGCAATGAAAGAATCACTCTACACTACATAGAGACAATGGTGATCCAATGGACTCATCAGATATCTGATATTCTAAACCGAGACTCTGCACAGAAGATCTTACAGGGTGAACATCCAGGCCCATCGCACGAGCTGGAATTTTGGACAATGCAGAAAGAAAACTTGCTTAGTGTTCGTTACCAGGTACAAACCAAACAGTGTGAAATAAAATAATCAACAATTGACATGTATGTTCCAGGTTTCCTGTGTCCAGCAGTATGCTTTTATGCAGAATATTGGAGACGTTGTTTTTAATTGAGGACCTAGTTGCATAGTTACATAGTTAGTCAGGTTGAGAAAAGACACAAGTCCATCGAGTCCAACCTATAGAGATATGAAAAACCCCCAAAACAGAACGCTATGCGCATAATTACACACCTGATCCCATAAGGCAATCGGATATTCCCTGGATCAACAATCTCTGATGCTTAATATACCTATAAGAACTCAATCTCTAGTAATATTCTGTGCATTTAGGAATACATCCATATTTTTCTTTTAAAACAATTAACTGAGCTTGCTAGAACAAGTTCCTGGGGGAGTCTATTCCTCATTTTCACAGCTCTAACTATGAAGAATCCTTTTCATATGCAAAGGTTAAACCTCTTTTCCTCCAGACGCAAAGAGTGCCCCCTTGTCCTTTGAAGTGACCTTAAAGTGAAAGATTTGGCACCATGCTCACTATATGGACCATTTATATATGTATACATGGTGATCATGCCCCCCCTTAATCGCCTCTTCCCCAGAGAGAACAAATTCAGGTCAGGTAATCTTTCATCATAGCTGATCTTCTCCATGCCTCTTATGAGTTTAGTTGCCTTTTGCTGCACTTTCTCCAGTTCCTGTAATCTTTTATCACACAGGCTGCTAACTATACCCAATGCCTGTGGACATGCATTTCTTTAAGGCAGCATATTAAAAATAATGGGTTGCTAACACATCAAAACGTCCCGATCATTGGACATGTTACAACATTTTCAATGCTACATACTGCAATGCATATACATGTTATATGCGCGTTATAAGCATTGCAGTGTGGCACCCTAACACACTAAGGCCCCATTTACACTGCATTCGGGGACTTACTCTTGCAGTGCTGGGGGGAGGGGGTAGCCCCACTGCATGTGTACGTTTTTAAAATTCCCGGAGTTCTTCTTTAATAAAAAGTATTTTTTATTTATCTGGTTTGCACTTTGCTGATTCTCTATAGCCATAAACAAAGGAGCCAGTGTGTATCCCCTGTATCGGTACCATTCCTATAAATAGATTTACAAGCTTTCAGATATCATGTTTCATTGGCTAAGCACACTGAATAATTAAAGGTTGTTATGTGATTGGTCGTTCTTTATTGCTCTTTGTTTTCACAACATGGGATTGTACAGCCCATTAACACCCATCATACCCTAACAACATACCTAAATAATAAATTAAATACACAACAAAAAACTAAAAGCCACGGCCCTTTTATTGGGTTTAAATATATGTAAACTTGGGATGCACCGATAACGATGTTTCGGTATCGAGTTTGAGTAGTGATTTTTTTTCCGGTATTCGACGATACCAAATAGTGATCTTGGAAGTCCCATTAAGGCGGTGTGTAATGATTAGCCGGGAAGCCGGCTCTATGCTCCCTCATCACCAGGTGACGAGGAAACATGAAGCCAGCTTTCTGGCCAATCAGGAAGCCAGGCGGTGAGTCATTACACGCCACCTGGCTTCCTGATTGGCTAGGAAGCCGGCTCCGTGCTCCCTTGTCACCAATAGACTTTAACCTTTTTACCAAACAGATCTATTTCTTGTTAACCATTTCACAGACCACCATGCTTGGTCTTCAAGACTCAAGCAGCAATAACTTCCACCAACTGGATTACTGTTTACCAACCACTGTCCACCCACAAATGGGCGATCTTACCCCATGAAGATTGACCACGACAAGGGAAAGTGGAGCAAAAGAGAGCATGAGCATGTCAAAATCCAGAGATGAATCCCTTTGCCAGTCCTGAGGTAGCTGCTGACACCGACTGACCATACAAGTGAAAGGTTACACTCATTGGCCAGATGTTTTTCCGCCAAAAGATCTGTCACCAATCCAATGCACAGCTGATTGAAAATCTGCCCAGTAACTGAGGTAAATAATCCTAGCAAAAGCAGACAGCTTGTCAACTGAAAGACAAATCCGAAAGGACCTGGAAAGCAGCCCCAGAAAGACATGTACGCCAACCAATTGAATGTCTTCCAACAGTCACTTTTAAGGCATGTCAACTGTCAAGGTTGCCAGTTTCCATTTTTCAGCTCTCAGTCAAACTTTCAAGCCCTCAAATGGCTGGTGTCATAGCTGATCACATGTGCAGCACCCTGGCAACTGCAATTCAAAGAGAGGTTAAGATGGCGCCTTCCTTGGCTGTAAGGGATAGCAGGTTGTAGTTCTGCTTTAACTGCCATCACAGCTTTCAATTAAGAAAATAATTCATTTTTACAATCACATGGGTGAGATAGGTGGCAATCTCATGGGGTCACTCTAATTTCTTTTCATGTCCCTAACAGACCCTGTTATCTTATTGATCTACGAAAGGAGAGATACGTTCCGATACTGAACATATTTTATTTATCTTCATTCTATAGTTGCAGACTGAAGAATTCCAAAAAGTGATTGATAAACTGCAGGAGAAGAGGAGCAGCTATTACACGGGTTTCAAGGAGCTAATCAATAGTGTGGATGAAGGTAGCACAATGATTGTAACCACCATATTCATACCATACATGAAAGAAAAACTGCTCTCTAGCTTCTGATGGCTGAGGACTTTAAGGGCCCCTCTACACTTGTGCATGCAGTAAACCAGGGGTAGGCAAATTCAGACCCTCCAGCTGTGGTGAAGCTACAATTCCTATCATACATTGGCCTTGGGGGGTCATGTCTGTGGCTGTCAGTGCCTAATGGGGTTTGTAGTTGCACCACAGATGGAGGGCCGGAGTTTGCCTCCCCCTGCATTAAAAATCGTTTTGTTTTTTTTCTGAAATGACATGGTTTGTCACACATGGTCAGTTTATACAATCATTTCCTAGAAGCTTTCTTTCATTTTTCTTTGTATCGTAAACTAACTATACCAGCCAGTATTTAGTGACTACAGCTAGGGTGCCCCGTGGCTCAGTGGGTAGCACTCCTGCCTTTGAGCACTAGGGTCCTCAGTTTGAACCCCAACCAGGACACTACCTCCATGGAGTTTGCATGTTCTCTTTGTGCAGGTTTCCTTCCAGGCCCCAAAGATATGCTCATAGGTTAATTGTCTCTTGCCTCCATTGACCTGATTATACATGCATGTCAGGTAGGAACATGTGATTTAGGCTCCTTGAGGGTAGTGACTAATATAAACTGTTGGTGCTATATCAGTACCTATAACAAATAGGGACTGATAGAAAAAAATGATGTTCATAAAATGTTTTTTTCCAATCATAAAGTATAAAAACATAATGCACAAAAATCATAGTAATGATATGTATTACAGCACATACAGTATGTTTATAGGGTTTATAAGGTACATGTCTCATGGTGAGACATCTGAAAACTCCTGGCTCTATGTTCATGTATTTTCTCAAGTAGGCTTGCAGAGCATTGATGGATCAGGTGTGATGTTTACTACGTGGATATGCATTGTGGGTCTAATAGAAATAAATGCAATGCAATGTCAAACTGGTCTTTGCGGCCTGCCCCTTTTCATCGCTAAGGGAATAACACCTCTTCAGTTCATAACTTTAGGAATGTCCCTATATGGTAAAGATTGTCCACATAATTGTATTCAAGAGAACCAATCATGCATCACTACCACAGCATCCTGGAACAATGTAGAACTAAGCAATGACCATTGACTCTTACAGAGTTCCAACCTTCTTAAAAACCATCAGGAAAATACAATTTAACTCACTTAGGTGCAAGGGTTCTATAAAAGTAGAGGAAGAAGACGATCACCCAATCAGATAGATTTTATGGTCAAAATATAAGCTGGAATCTGATTGATTATCACCTATAATTTGACCTTATTATCAGGTCATTATTCATCATGAGTTGACTCACCCACTAGTTTGCGTTAACCCTGATGGACTATAGGGGAATGTCTGTGCTTGAGCTCCCATGTCTAGTCATCTGCCACAGCCTCTACAATAGCATCCCACTCAACTTGTTGCAAAGTGCTGCTGCAACACAAAAAATGAGGCTTAAAGATGGTGGGGGTGCTGGGGGCTGCAGTAGATACATTTCATCACTAAGAGTCACCAAGACATAAAGAAAGCTAGAGGACAATTTAGTTTGGGAGCTTCTGCTAAAAAGACCCAAAATATCAGCTTTGCATGAATTAATAATTCAAGAACTGCAATCTCTGACTGGACATTTGTTTTCTTGCAGCTATTATAGAAGCCCAAGAGATTGAACTGTATCTTAAACCTTTAAAGTTTTACATTGCCCATCTGGAGGAATCAAACTTTCCAGACATAGAGTATTTCTTCTTGCCGCTATTCCATACTATATTACTAATATGGACCAATTCCCTCAATTACTGCACCCCTCAACGCATCATTGTACTCTTGCAAGAGTTCTGCAATCTTCTCATTGACCGGGTAAGAACACTTTGCTCATAATGATTCAGCTGGGAATATTGGGCCTGCTTTTTAAACAGTTGGACATTTGTAATATTCTGAATCTCTATGATGGAGTTGTTATAACAGTGTAGTCTTATCTTTCAGTGAAAGTTGATCTTCCAGTATTCCTATAACAGTGTAGTCTTTATTTCTCAGAGATGGTTGATCTTCCAGTCTCCTCTCTTTGTTTAAAAGACGTATCCCCAGGCCAGAAGTGTTAGATGGAACAGACTACCTACTTTCTGCCACAATAGGAAGCTAATTACAGAGTCTGTCTGGATGCTGTGGATAAGGGCATTGGGAATAGGATGGCATAAGCAATATATCACTGAGCAGTGATACGCTGACCAAATACTATGAACTACACCATACCAAGACATCTTTACACGTGTGTGGGATCTCTATTTTTAATAAAATATCAGAAACAGGTTTTAAATAGGTTTCTTTGTTGTCTAGCATGGCACAGTTTCATATAAAGGTAATTACACCTCAATTTGTGCGCCTCCCTATTTGGTTATAAACTGTTTAATTGCTTGTCATGTTCTCTTTTTGATATGCTTCTTAGAAACACTCCACATCAAAGTGCAACTAAAGCCCAAACTTTTCTTTCAATTGTTGGGTATAGTGGAGAGGGATTAGAACCCATAGGGTTCTTATTGCTGTCTGGGTCCCCGTTAGAAAGATTCACTCTCTGATTGTCCTGGTGACTGTTATCACTAAAAACAAAAGAAAATAGCAAATTTTGGGTTGTCATCAAAACAGGAATGAATAGAAAATATTCCAATGGGGACACTAATTCTGGGGACACTGCTGGCCTCCAAGGATTTCCCTCTCTTTGGAGGGATTTCCCCACACTTCCTTTTGTGGCTATTGGACAGGAAGTGACGGGTGCGCATGTGCGAGTCGCGTGGTCGGGTGCGCATCCCCAGAAGCTCGCGCGTAGCCCTCCTGCGCCATTAGGCATCAGGTGTGAGCCTTGCTAGGGGAGGTTCCCAGTACACACCTTCCATCTCTCTCGTCTGCCATTGGTTCCCCGCGAGGGAAGCCTCCTGGTTGCCTCGGTGACCGGGGGGTGGTCTTACCTCCCCTGGCTATAAAAACCTGGCCTGAGCTCTGGCTTATTGCTGAGTTATTCCACCTCATGGTGTGACATATGAAGCTCCCCTCCTATGTGCCTTGCTGCCAGTTCCCTGAACCCTCTGCTGACCTCCCGTGTACCGACCTTGGACCGCCTATCGCCTATGACCCTTTGCTACCTGCCTCGACCTCCGATTGCCCTCGACTACCTCTTTGGATTGCCCCTTGTTACCTTGCCTTCAGGCTGCTTCCTGCCAGCGGGTTCCCTCCGTGCTGCTTGCCCGCAGACGCACCTGATACTAAGAGTGGTTATAACTCTCGCTTACACAATCCAAATACTAAAAAAAAAAGTAACTAATGCGTTTCTAGCTGTCATTTTTCTAGTGCCGACTTCTATTTCCTTGCTATCGGCAACAAAAATGCTTTGCGTCTTTCTTTATTTCTCTATTTAACAAAAAAGATAAAGCAGATGAGAAGTGCTAAAAACTTTCAGAATTATTATTATTATATTATGGTTTGATTATAAATCATCTCCCTGCCAATTAGATATAGAATGTGTACATGCTGCTGATCAATTTTAATATGTGAAAATGGTTGCACGTAATAGATGTGTAGGATTTGTCATACCTGATGAAGGGACCCTGAGTGGCCCCGAAACGTTGCTTTATGACGAGATGTGTGTACATCAATAAAATGACCACTTGTTGAAGATTTTACTTTGGTGCGCTGGTAATATACTTTACTACTTAGATGTGTAGGATGGTCACAGCTTACTCTCCAGAATTACAGACACTGGGAGCACAAAACATCCTTGATGGGTGAGAGTTCTCAACTTTTATGTTAGATAAGTGCCTGAACATGTCCCCCCCAGATGGCTCTCATTATTTTATTCTTATTTACTAAAGTTGTTCTTCAATGATAATATGTGTTTTTGTATTGTATGTGAACTTTAAATATTTATGGAACTGTTTCCAAAGTCTGAGAACTTCCTAATTTCTGAAGAAATCTTTAAAATGGAGCTGGAGGAAGGTTTAGAAAGAGTCCAGATGGTTGTTCAGATGTTTCGATGTTTCAAGAAAACATATTTGCTATATGTGGAGAAAGTGGACCTCACCGCTAAAAATTCTACAAGAATTCAAATCTGGGACTTTCCTTCGAGCCTTGTTTTCTTCCGATTTGACAGTGTGCTAGAAAGGCTTCTGTATGTACAGGTAAGATATGAAATATATATTGTATGGTACAAGATATTTGAGGGTTAGCTTGAGAAAACATGCAGGAACAAGGCATTGCAAGGCAAGAGTATAACTTTAGCCCTAGCAAACCATGCAACTGCTATGGGGCTCAGAAGCATAGGGAACATGAATAAGTAAAAAAAACAATTTTTGCATGTAGTAATCAAGTTTGTTAATAGGTTTGTATAAAATGAAAGTATATAATGTATAGTTTGGGAACTTCTTTACTGCTTCTATTAAAGCAATACATATTCTGTATCACTTGAAGAAGTCTTTGAGACGGTCATTAGATAGGCAGGGGGAATCTTAATGATTTTGCCTAAGGGCCCAATTATACATAGTCAAAGACATGTTGCTAGGTTAACGGGGATAATCTATAACCACATATCCTCACTGTGGCTCCAGTAAATGCTGGGCAAGGATATTTTTTTTAACATTAACCTCTATGTGGCAGTATACGAACAGACCGCACTATCCAGAGAATTCCAATACTGCAGACTTTATTGAAATTCATAGCAAATCCAGTGTAACAGTGAATAAAAGTGTATAAAGCAACAGATGCCAGCACTGCACACCCCCAACCAACTACAACCTCTCACATGTTTCACCCGCAGGCTTATTCATAGAGGTGGTTACATTTTTTGTGGTTACTGTGAGCTTGAATCATATGCTGACCTCTTACGATCCTCAGGGACATCAGCCCACCAGAACTCTCTTCTTCCAACTAATGCAGCTGTTACAAAGCCAAATGATGGTGTTGTAATTTACCAGTTCCTCAAATATAGAATAAAACAATAACCGGGAAGACCAGCTGCACAAGTCATCTTCTTTGTCAGTGTCGGGGGTGGGGGGGGGCTATTTCTGGAAAATCTGACAATTGGAGTCATTAGGAGCTAGTAAATGATTTAACGCATTGGTGCCCACTCGAAAGGAAAATACCAGTTTTGCCTGGCCTAACCTTGAAGTACTCCAGGTTGTCTATGTGTCATTAATCAAGGATATCTTAAATTCTAATTAAAATACAATTAATCCAACACAATGAAGCGCATTTTCTTATAATGGATTTTAGTTCAATCTTGATATGTGTTGTTGAAATAAAGTGGACCTTGCACAACAAAATACCTAAACCCTATTCAATAACCCTCCCCATTGTTTAAAATTAAAGTTAAAAGAGTAAAGAGTACTTAGTATACACCCTGCTTCCATTCCATTCACCTAAGCACCAGTGAGATCACAGGACCGTCCTGCAATCTAATGGGAAACCAGTGGAACCCCAATCTCACAAGAATGCATTATATCGCTATAATATTTTGCTAATGTTCCCTTACTTTCAAATAAGAAGGATATTAGCTAAACGTCATGTAGCCCCTACCACCTCTAGTGGAGTGGATACTAGAAATTTAGTGATTGCCAGAGCTGTAGTCAGCTTGGCTGAACTATAGTTGGCATTTATTTGGTTACTTCCAGGTGTTCTGATTGTGCCTACCTGGGTGGAGTGTGACTCTGCTGCAGTGTGGGGCAACCAAAGGGAGGACATTATGAGTGTGTGGGGCTTACCTGCCAATCCTTGATGGTTTCATGGCCAGAGGTGCATGCTGGGGGAAGTGCTTATATACTCATACACATATATTGCCATGTGTTCAGTACAGTTCTGGGATAGCCCAGAGTCCAGTCAGGGTTGCGTGGAGGAGGACGGTTAATGCTAGTGGGGCAGCTGGTTACCAAACACCCCCTAGACAGGCTATGGATGACCCGAGTATTCCAGCGGCTTCTTCGGGGGATGAGCGCTACATTCACTTTGTGGTTTTATATGGTCCCGGACCCCCCCTTCCCCCTTAGATCTCTGATAACTTAGCCATTATGCCTAAAAGTGAATGTAGTAGGAACAACCAATCAGCATCTTTCTTTCACTATTTAATTTGACCTAAATGAATGAATATATAAAGCTGATTACTGAGAAAGACACAACTCTTCTTTTACATAATATCTGACACGCGGCTCGATTTTACAGTAATCCATAACTATAATGATGAGTATTGAATTACAGCATAATGTTAGCAGAATATTAGAAATATCAGGGACAAATTGTTAGTGTTTTTGCAGTCAGTTATACGTCTAATAATGTATTCAGTGAATCCCCTGGCTGAGCTGGTACTGGTTATTAGCATGGTTATCAGAAAGCTATCTCTAAACCCCAGGCTGACATTGTGCATCTGCTGCATATTCATATAGAGGCTTTCACACCCATTGAATATTCATTTATGAAAATGGAGGCATTTCTAACTGTGCTAATGATGCTTAGCACATCTATTAAGCCACAGACATCAGCTAGAGATGATAGAGCACCAGGACATTTTTTTGTAATTATTGTAAGTGTGGCTGATTTTCATGGCTATGTAAGTTATGTGGAATTGGTCAACCAGCCAGTGCAGCGTCCAAATGACTGCTGATTCTATAAAGCCGGGGTCAGTGAGAACAATAGCCTGAACACCCACATTTTATGCTTTGATCTTTCTTGATATTATGTTGTGTTGATTTATAGGCACCTGCAAAGCTTTCACTTCCTATGTGCTTCTCTTTCTATCTCAGGGTGTAACTTTAGACATAATAGACTATATGATTTCGATTAAGCACAGCAGCACAATACGAATACCCATAACAGTTGCCATTTTGGCCAGATAAAGCAAGAATCTCTCTAGGACATTCATTAGACCATTAGTGGACCGCTCTAGAGGGGAACAGTCCTAGGCTGATTGCTACTGCCACCCAGTGATAGGCAACATTGGCAGCAGCTGCCTCCACTGTTGGCGTTCCACAAGGTTGTGTTTCTGATAGCTTCACCATTTTTGGTGCCTGAGTGTGAATCATGAATAAAAATCCAAGTGCTGTCTACAGGCACCTGAAGCCCAATACATAGAACATACCATGTCATAGGGAACATCTTATAATGTTCAAAACTTTTACCTAAAGAGGAATTGTACTCTTATCTTTAAAATGACATCAAATACACCTTTAGAAGTGTTTGGTAATGGAAATCTACAAAAACATACTTCTAGATAATTGCCGGCTTTTTATTTTTTGCATACCTTATTTCTCTTTTCCTCCCCATTCTTCTCATAGTGGCCATTTTTACAAAGGGCAGATTAATATATCTCCCTTAACTTCCTGGAACTCTGGCACATGTTACTAGGACATGTGACCATGCACATCATCTAAGGGGGGGAAAAAGCCTTTCCCTGAGATCTCATGAGATTACAGATGTGATTTCCTTGCATTGCTCTGCTGATGTAACCTTCCCAGGATGCAACGCTTTAACACATTACATCATTAATGCCTAAGAGGACCAGGAAGTGGAAAAACAATAATTGTAAGTAAAAGAAACATATGTTTGTTTAACTAATGAATGTAAGGTGTTTTTTCATATCAACATGCATAGCTGCATGCTGAGGTGATTTTTAATGAAAGAGGGTAAAGATACACTTTAAATATATATCTCAATAGCCACAAAGGATATGAATAATTTTTTTGTGTGCAAAATGCCTTTTCTAACCTAGATATTACTTTGTAAAATAATAGTGTGGTCTGTGCAGAGAGCAGAGCTCTGGGAGGACCTGAAAAGCCAACCCACTAAAGACTGCCTGCAGAAAACTACAGGAGAAGGCGGAGACAAGACCAGTCTCTTGCACAGGAAGGGAGAGCAGCAGTGACCGGTCTTTATTGCAGGAAGCCCCTGCACAGAGGCAAGGTTTCATGCTGGTTTACTGCAATTACTGGACAAAATACACAAACAAAGCAATTTACTCAAATAGATTACACAAATAACACTTAGTGAGAATACACATGGCTCTTGTATTTAGAGAATAGTTGCTTATGGCGCAGTTCAGCTTTAATATAACACCCTTCTGGAATAGGGTCCAGGTCCGAACATTGAAAGACAATAATATTAAAAATGTGCGTATTCTGCCCTAGTTAAAAATGTTACCTTTTTCTCAAAAGAATAAAGCTGTAGAGACTTACCAATGACCTGCAAACCAAACAAACCACTTATGAGAATAAGCCCCAAGGCTTATTCAGCACATCTTCACCTGCTACAGCCTCTGGTTCAGTTTCCTGCTCTTTGTTTCTCCCTTTAAGGAACTCTTCATAGCAGCGATCGATTTCCTGAAGCTAGAGAAAGTTGAAATTGGTGGATTCCGTGGCAAAATTCTCAGTGAAGAAATCCATATTATGAGTGAAGAGTCTAATGAAATATGGAGGATGCTGCAGGAAAGCAAATATCACCCCCTGGACTACACAGATACTGTAAGTGTAGCTACACAATCAATAGCAGTAAAATATACAAGACTCTTGCTGCTTGTTATGAAGATTAAAGATATAATGGTAATATGTGGCTCAAGGGTCAAAGATGAACTACAGCAAGCGTCCAAATGCATATATGGGGAATGTTTTATCTTCTAAAGGAATTTCATTTTGTTCAGCCATCTCATCAGCCTCCAATGTTGCAGCAGCACAATATTTCAAGAACATACCCTCAGCCTGAAGGAGTTAAAACACACATTGCCGCACATGTGCATTGCAACAGAGTTTGATTGACTCATACTGCCCTTAAGGTGGCCATACACTGTACAACCATCGCAAGACCTTAGTCTTGCAATGGTTGTAAAGTGATTAAAAAACCGGCCCGTTCAGCATTTGTCTCCCGAGCACCGTTCAAACCAGCCGAAAATGGTACGATTCTCGGCTGGTTTTCTAACATGCTCCTTAGACAAAAGAAGTGCGACCGTACAGTAGAAATGGTCGCACGTCTTCGTTCACACTGTTCGATTCTCGTACGATCGCGGGATTTCCCGCGATTCTCGTATGAGAATCGAGCAGTGTATGGGCACCTTATGTCACGCCACTGCTGCTGTACAGACATTTACAGGGTGCTGATGCATTTTTGTGAATCATAATGAACATCATCACATGCTGATGCACACTGTGATGCATTGCCTTGTCAATGTACATCTTAACACATGCATTGAGGTGCGCTATGATGCATTTCCATTGATTTAAATGGAAAATGCATCAAGCAAAAATTCAAATGTGTGAATCCAGCTTTAAGGCCCATTCACACTTTGCCATTCTTGTGAGTTGCATTAAAGCACATGAGTTGTGTCATGCATTAACGTGCATTACCTTAAAGCAGTCCATTAATTTTGAATCAGCTGCCAACACACCAGAACAGACAAAGAAACATACCTGCAGCAATTTTTCCAAAACAGCACATCACAATGCACGATAGTGAGCTACTGTACATGGTGGTGCTCTGGAAAGCATGTGCAGTGGAGCTGTGTTGCCTTAGTGGTTAGGGTGCCGTTTAAAATGAATAGCACAACGCGCTAATGCACAGAATGTGTGTGTTAACACGTGCATGCTAACACTCTGATTACCGCAGCGCAAAAGTGCGATATGTCTCTTAAAAATTTTAATGGACACATAACTGGTGTTTTTCTACTTTTATATTTCAGGTTTGATGGCTAATAATATTTTATAAACAAAACACACATTTATCACATTTATACAGATGCTTGCAGCGGTTGTCAGTTAAACTGGGGTTTTATTGCTAGCATATAAAGAGCAGCTCCAGAAAATAAGCAAATACTGGGACAGGGGCTTATTTACAAACAATCTGAATCTCTGTTAACGTTTGTTATGTGCAAATAGAGGAAAAAACAAATGTTCTCAGTGTATTTTCTTTTCAAGGTTGAAAGTAATGTAATACCACTAGATGGCCATTAGATGGAGCTGAGGAACATAGGAAATAAATATTTATGGCTCTGCAAATTGTTTATAAATAGACCCTATGGGGGTCTGAAGCGCATTAGACAACATGTCAGAGGACAGCAGATTATAGTTTGGAGTATCAAGGACAAAAACTGTCTGGCAGCTTATAGTTAGGAAAAGGAGGAAAGCATTTGGATTGCTGGTATCATTCAGGTGATGAAGAGCCTCAACTCTGAGGGCATAGAACTGGAGAGTGGGAATGTTTGGGAATACATGGCAGCAATTTAAATACATGGCGTTCGCAAAACACCAGGGTACACCTGGTAACAAGATGTTTTTGGGGAGCAGGGTGGTTTGGAGCACCACAATACCTCCTAAATGAAAAACAAAATCCCTAGCAGGTGGACAAGTCCTGCTGCATTACCAGAAGGCTTACATACATCTGTATATTAGATCTTTGAGTGTAAAGGAGGGCTAGGCTTCCAAAAGAGGGACAACTGAAAGGGAGGCAATTACTGGGGCAATTTAAGATTACCTAATTTGCTGGCCAAGACTTATATTCAGACAATATCCATATACATAATGATACAACACACCATGATAGCAGTCCTACACAAGTAGCTGGATTGGGTCAGCTGCTTGGCAAGCTATACATGTGCACACTGCTAAATGAATCGGGGTAACTTTAGAGGCAAGTAATGTTGTTAAAGGGTATCTATGGTCAAAAACTAAAAATAAATATGTATTGAATTTCCAGAAGTTCTATCCCACTCCTAATAACCATATCAATCTAGTAGACTGTAAACTTACTTATTGAAGATGCCCATAGGATGTACTTCCTTAATGAACTGACACAATTTCACTCAGCCCTGTCAATATACATTTCATTGAGTACAACTCACAGAGCCTGCCTTCTGAACTCAACGCCTAAACTTCCCACAATGTAATGTCACCAATGCTTGCTGGAAACAATGCGTAATGGGTTATGTAGTCTTTTGGGCTGCCTTTAATAATGATTGGACCTAGGGTTGCCACCTTTTCTTCCAGTGAAACCCGAACACTCTAGTGACGCACAGAATTTTGCTTCGGAGAATGAGTCGCGGCTTATTCATATATAAATAGCGCCCCCCCACTAATATGTAAAGACCACAGTCAAAACTATTTTCAGTGGGGGGCCAGCAGCCCCTATCTTAATTTTGGTTGCCCCTGTCTGCCTGACATCTTGTGTCCGGGTTTCAGCTGCCATGAAACCCGGACACAGCATTCAAAACCCGGACTGTCCAGGTGAATCCCGGACAGGTGGCAACCCTAATTGGACCCTGGGTAAACATTTTCTTGGGCCCCCCTGCCACGTCCATGCCACTCCCCACCCCGCCCATCTTCCGCCATGCAATTTCGCTCTCTACCCAGCCCCGTGCAACATCCTTCTCCTGCAGAGCAGATAGGAAGAGACATGATAGGGAGATGTGAGCACGCCTGAGAGGTTACGTGGTCAGGGGCAGAGCAACACCATGCAATGCTGATTGCATAGTAAACAAAACGGTGCCACGTATCTATCTTTTGTGGGCTAAAGGGGCAGCTGCTTTGGGCCCCACAACAATGACTGGACTAGGGGCAAAAAAAAATAGAAAAATTGGGATTGCATCAAATCATGCAGCAGGGGAAGACATGCAAAGCAAACTGGGAATCCAGGAAGTTGTTGAAAATGATAGGCAGACCGAAGGTAGCACTCATTACATAAAAGGGATTTTTCAAGTAAGCTTTGATTGCATTATCAAAAACAACTCCAGTATGTGTTCCTATTACAATGCTGATGTTATAACAGGATAGTATATGCAACTCCTTTAACATGAAGGAACTTTACAAGTCCTTTAACATAAAGATTCTAGTTTTATATTTTGTAGAGTTGTTAACTACATGTGCAATTCCATAAACATGCCCTTTAGAGGACCAATAAATATAAAACATAGACATATAAATAATATAATAAGAAAGATTGTTCATAATGTTTACTGAGGCACAGTATATTCAATAAATCTTTTCGGGCTGATTACAGAACGTTTGTGATAAAACTGTTATTATAGGGCAGTAATTTCCGACACATAGCCGGCTTCCTGTAGGGTAATGTCATTGAAGGACAGCGCAAGTGACCTCCCTACAGTCTCTGCTCTGCCGGAGATGGCTCATGATAATACATTGCACACTGCAAATGTTAATAGAATGCCTAAAGATGTATCAGTCTGATAACTGTCAAATACTAGATCCAAAAGAGAACCTAAACATTTCTCTACTAAGGCGGTAATTGAATAGTCTTATCTATCTATAATTGTTTACACCTTACATATGAACTGCACATATCATCGTGTATTTGTTATCACACAAAATATAAAATTAAAAAGGTCAATTCAACTAAAAGTGGCATCTTAGTTATAAGTGGGTCTGAGCAGGCTTAGTCAACCCCTGACTTCTTTTATGTCCTGGATTCTTTAACAGTGAGAACTCTTTGCCATAACTTGACTGATCCACATACTTACTCCTGATCAGTGATGCAGAAAGAACTGAAACCATTGTATCCTCATGACAGCCAGGGAATCAGCCTTTCCAGAAAGAGAGAGGTCAGCCGTGGCAGCCTCAATTCTTCCTCAGTACAGTTGTTGTAAAGCTGATCTTCAGTTTTTAGAAAATTGCTTCCCTATCTGTCGGCGGCAGTCCATAGTACGATTACAAGCAGTCTGGGACAGATGATTACGCACCTATCCTGCGTCCAGGGACAATCATCCATCCTGAACTGCATGAAACTGTACCATCTACAATTACATGCAGTTCAATACATGCTAAAAACCTAAAAGTCTCTTAAAAGTAGAAATGAAACACTCTTAAGCTAAACATTTTTATGAGTGCACACAATCAATCTAAATGTGTATATTAAAATATCTCAAGTGTCCAAATAAACGTTACAATCCTCAGTTCAATTATCAATCCAATTTCAAATCCTAATACGTGTGAATCAAAGAAAAAGTGACAAGTACAATAATCCACATGTTCCGACTAATTTGTCGTGTCCACCATCACTTCAAAGCTGCTACCATCACCAATACAAAAATTGTCTTCACCGCTATTTCCCTCCTTGTGCCGACACCCTCCAGAGAGCTGCTCACCTGAATCACTTGTATAGCAGATCCCTTTTTTCCTAAGGTAGGCGGGATTTCACCTCAATCCGTAACTTATGTTTGGCTACTCTTCCCTCTGTGTCATTCCCCGTACAATCTCAATAAAATCAATGAAATCCCTGACTGCAGTAGCGTCACTGGAAACTCTTTCTGTCAGTCTCCTCTGTGCTTCCGCTGGTTTGCGGCACCCCTGATGAAGTCGCTACAGACGTAACGTGCGTAGCGTGGAGCTTAGGGACGCCGTAAACCAGTGGAAGCACGGAAGAGACTGACCAAAAGAGTTTCCAATGATGCTGGATCTCTATTTTTAAGGGACGTTTAGGTGATTAGTGCACCACATTTCAGCACTGTAAAGTCCCTTCCTCAGGCAGAACATTTGTTTGTAAGGTGCGTACACTGCTTGCATTTTAAAAAAAAATACATTTAGGCCTCATTCACACTTGCAAATGCGTTGAGGGGTGATCGTCCGCAGGTATTCACAGCCTGTGCAATTACATGCAAATGGTTGTGAACAGCTGCAGGAGCTGGCAGCTGCCATTGTATTGCACAGCACCTCCCATCTGTAGCTGATTGCATGAGTTTCACACAAGAATTCGTGAGACTCCATGTGATCAGACCCATTCGCAAGTGTGTTGGGGCCTTAAAGATGTATTAATGATTAAGCGCTCCATTAGTTTGTGTCTTTCCTATCTTCCTGGAGTTCAGCTTTTTTTTAACCTTTATTCTTTTTATTAAAGACCAGAAACAATATAAAAACCAAGACATATTGCCCCCAAAAAATAACATCTTAATACAACAGGACATATGCCTGCGTTACATAAAAGCCCTCTCCTTCTATTCAGCTGTAATTATAGGGGGATCACTGGAAATTATCCTCTTAGCTTGCCACGGTGTCAAGATAAAAGATTGCATACATTCTTGTTTTGAAGTAGTTGGTAAAGAGTCCATAAATAAAGAGACAATAATTTGTTTTTTTTTCTGTTTTTAATGAATACAATACTTGAGCTTAGATTTTTTTTTAGGGCTGGTAATGATTAAAATTTTCGTGTTCGATTAATCAAATTTTTTTTTAATCGATTAATTTCGATTAATGACGCACATACAGATCCAACTACATTGGCCTATACACATACAGCACAGCAATGAAGTAATAAAATGAACTAGGATCACACTAATCCAGCACGCTATTAATCTCACGTGCCCCACTCAATATGGCCGCCACTTGAGTGGGGCAACTCAGAATAATAACGTGCTGGATTAGTGTGATCCTAGTTAATTGTATTACTTCATTGCTGTGCTGTATGTGTATAGGCCAATGCCTTGGCTGGCGCTCGTGCAGAAAGTTTCTTGGGCAAACTCACCGGCCCAAGTAGCCGTCACCGGACTCCTCCCCTGTTCCCTTCATTAGCCGACGCAGCCACTTGGGGAAGGTGTAGGAGTCCGGTGACATCGATGTCCGTGACGTCACCGGATCGCCGACGGGACTCCCGGAAGCCGGCGGAGAGGTGAGTGTTTTCATTAGCGATCAAAATAATTTTAAACGATCAAAAAGTTTAACGATTAATTGAGAAATTAATCTTTAATTTCCACAGCCCTAATTTTTTTTTATTTGCTCTTTCATGAAAATGTTGTATTTTAGAGTTTCCATATCTATAAACTGCAATATGTCTCATTTTAATGGCATCTCACTTGTTTATCACAGGGATTCTTGTCTGATTACACAAGATACTGTCAGCAAATAAACGGCTTCGACCACCATGTAGGCCAGATTTTGAATTTGTCTTTCGATGAATCAAATGGACTAGAATCTGCCTTTAAGGTATGTGACCTTAAATCCATTACCAAAGGGAATAAAACAACCTGCTTCTCTATAAATGAAATGTCACTTTGCTCTACGGCGTACAGAAGAGAATCTCGTTGAGCTTTATTTATGGAATAAAGTGCTTGATTGTGACACTTCGTCTAAACGCTGAAAAGAGTTGAACTGTTTTATGAAACTCCAAAAAAGATGCAGAGGACATAGTAAAAAATACAATGTCAACATAATAAAGGGTACTCACTAGGGGTAAAAAGAGGAGTATAAGGAAAATAAAAAGGATGACAGCAGGGAAAATTGCCATCAGGGACAACATCCCACTGTGTGAAAAACAGTTTTACCGGAATCGCTGTACGAATACAGCTGTAAGAGTAGCAGAGACATTTTAAAATCATCATTAAATTGTAGACGGGGCAGTGGCTGTCCAGGTGGTATGACCAAAGCGCTGGGTATATTTATAAAGAACGGAAGAGCTCTGTGTCTTGAACTCTATCAGATGTGTACTCCTTAGGAAAGTAACTAACCTTTTACCTGGTGCGGGGGCATTGCAAAACAAAATGGAAAAAATGATTGTCTTCCAAATGCAGCAATCGCCATAGAATTATGCGGCAGCACCCACTAATTCTGCTGCCAGTCATTTGGGGGAATTATGAGCATTTTGGAAAAAAATCCATCACATACGGGCAATAGTTATAGGCTAGCAGAATAGGCCAATGCCTTGGCTGGCGCTCGTGCAGAAAGTTTCTTGGGCAAACTCACCGGCCCAAGTAGCCGTCACCGGACTCCTCCCCTGTTCCCTTCATTAGCCGACGCAGCCACTTGGGGAAGGTGTAGGAGTCCGGTGACATCGATGTCCGTGACGTCACCGGATCGCCGACGGGACTCCCGGAAGCCGGCGGAGAGGTGAGTGTTTTCATTAGCGATCAAAATAATTTTAAACGATCAAAAAGTTTAACGATTAATTGAGAAATTAATCTTTAATTTCCACAGCCCTAATTTTTTTTTATTTGCTCTTTCATGAAAATGTTGTATTTTAGAGTTTCCATATCTATAAACTGCAATATGTCTCATTTTAATGGCATCTCACTTGTTTATCACAGGGATTCTTGTCTGATTACACAAGATACTGTCAGCAAATAAACGGCTTCGACCACCATGTAGGCCAGATTTTGAATTTGTCTTTCGATGAATCAAATGGACTAGAATCTGCCTTTAAGGTATGTGACCTTAAATCCATTACCAAAGGGAATAAAACAACCTGCTTCTCTATAAATGAAATGTCACTTTGCTCTACGGCGTACAGAAGAGAATCTCGTTGAGCTTTATTTATGGAATAAAGTGCTTGATTGTGACACTTCGTCTAAACGCTGAAAAGAGTTGAACTGTTTTATGAAACTCCAAAAAAGATGCAGAGGACATAGTAAAAAATACAATGTCAACATAATAAAGGGTACTCACTAGGGGTAAAAAGAGGAGTATAAGGAAAATAAAAAGGATGACAGCAGGGAAAATTGCCATCAGGGACAACATCCCACTGTGTGAAAAACAGTTTTACCGGAATCGCTGTACGAATACAGCTGTAAGAGTAGCAGAGACATTTTAAAATCATCATTAAATTGTAGACGGGGCAGTGGCTGTCCAGGTGGTATGACCAAAGCGCTGGGTATATTTATAAAGAACGGAAGAGCTCTGTGTCTTGAACTCTATCAGATGTGTACTCCTTAGGAAAGTAACTAACCTTTTACCTGGTGCGGGGGCATTGCAAAACAAAATGGAAAAAATGATTGTCTTCCAAATGCAGCAATCGCCATAGAATTATGCGGCAGCACCCACTAATTCTGCTGCCAGTCATTTGGGGGAATTATGAGCATTTTGGAAAAAAATCCATCACATACGGGCAATAGTTATAGGCTAGCAGGATGGTTGTATAATCAACTTTATAGCATCCTGTTGCTAGAACTTTTTCTTGCCTGCTGTTTTTTTTCCTTTCAATGTTCTTGAGTTCTCTTTATCAAGCATAACTTTGTTCATGGAACTTTAATTGTTTTCTTCTTTAACAACAAACTTTAGCTCCTAGGTTTAAAGCCCAATTGAACCCTCAGTTTAAACAAGCTAAATACATTCCAGGTGCATCAAAAAAGGTGTTCAAAGCCTTACAGTTGGTTTTCTTTAGAAAGCAGTCACAGCCTGAATACAAAAGCCTATTTCCTGCCAGCACCTGCAGAGTGGTACCGTTGTTCTCTATGTAGAAGTAGTGGTCCCAATGCAGAGGTCCATCATTCCCCTTGCTGAGCTTTCAGTTTCAATAATTGTCAATTCTGAAAAGTCTCTTGAAAGGGTTAGTACATCCACGATTAATATTTTAATTGTGAGCGAATACAGCATGTTAAATTAGTGGGGTAAATTACAAGCAACACAACTGGAGCAAAAAGACCTATGATGCCATAAACTCCAATGGAAAAGTCTCATGCCTACAAGACATAAGTAGTCAATGGTGTCCACCCATAACTGAGATATGCAGTGGACTTTTAAAAGCAACCATAATTATTTTTGACAAGAAATAAAAGTACATTTTCCTAATGGGAATCCATACAGCAATCCAACCAGACACTCCCCACTTTTAAGATTAAGGAGGTTAGTCACGACGAAGCTCAAGGATCCAGCCGTAGCTTTGGTTCTTTTCGGCTGCCTGAGCCCTTCTGTTCGATCGAACTGAAGGGCTGCTGCACAGGCTATTCACTATAGCCTGTACAGCAGCCAAAGGCAGCTGAGCGGCTCAGCCGAGCCGAACCCATATGCTTCAGCTCGGCTGAGCCGTATTCACAGCCGAAGCGTGGAGAAAGATCGTCCGAAGCCGATCGATATCCACGCAAATGACAGCTGGCCGGAGCCAGCCGTGATCTCACAGCTCGCTCCGCCCAGTTGTAATTACTTGTTATTTGTTATTCATTGGCCCGGGACCTGGCCCGTATACCCCTTGGTAAGGGTATATGTATTTAGTGCAGCCTCTGTCTGCTCTATCCTAAAATGCGTGGGATTCTTTTTTGTAAGAGTAAAGCTTCTGCACAACTATATGCCGGGTTTGTCTTTGTCTTCATGACACTGCTTGTTTAAATACCTTTTTGAACAGGCTCTGGGGACTTTCAGAAACCCATGTATAAAGGACATCTCTGGGCAAACCAAAAATCTACCCTTGCAGTGAGTTAAGTGCTTGTTTATGTCTAGGGGTTGGAATAAAGCAGATTTATTTACCTTGTCCTCACTCTCATGGCAGTCAGCGCTGTCCCCTCTTCCCCTCCGCTGAATGTTGAATGCCCCTCGACGTCTTCACATGTAACGCAGGTCTAATGCAGGTCATATCTAATGCAGGAACCTGCATTAGACATGATGGCATCAGTGGTCCTTAGACTGTTGGAGCCTGGGTGAGAGGAGGCTGTAGGGACTGGATCAGGTAAGTAAATCTGTGTTACTCCAGCCCCTAGTCATTAATGTTCACTTAACCATTGCAGTGCAGGGGGAAGCCCAACTGCAAAGGTATTTTTTGTTTGCTTGGAGATGGGTTTAAACATCATGCAACATTTGAATTTCAGACAAATGCAGACAATTTGGAAAACTATGTAACACTGTAAAATGTAGAAAAATACGGGGTGGGGATACGTGTCCAAACCACTCTATCAGGGAAGTTTAAATAAAAGATGCCACAATTAGGGACTGAACATTATAACTGAATGAAAAATAGCTTTTTTAATTGAAGTTTCTCTGTAAAGAGTTCACATTATTCCCGGACAAATGCACATTTGCACATGAAATTAGTAATTTTAGAAAAATTATAGCATTATGTGTCTGATGCTTGCTGTTTTTCCTGTTGTTTTTTTCTACATTTCTCTTTTCAAAATACTTGTTGTGACGACATGGTGATCAGTTTATAAGTTAAATGTGTATTGGTGTTGAGTTATGTTTGAGTGCGTTATGCTGTGTGACCTGGTTATGGAAAGACTATCAGCACCATCCCTCGTTATCTCCCATTGTACTCTGAGGGAGCTCAGAACAATGACATTCTGGCCAGGCTCCTGCTATGGCTGTCTGGAGTTCGTTAGCAGGTGGACACCTGTGGTGTTGAGCAGACCGATGGTCTGGGAGGGGAGGGGGGATGTGATGGGATTATATTCTGATTTCATCACTTGCTGTATATAAGTTTGTGCAGTTGCTCAATAAATCAGAGTTTGTTTACCCTACACTCGAGCCTTGGCTAGTGACTGGGGAAACTGGGAGCTACAGATCTTCAGGTTTCAATATCTCCTCAGCAAGGAAGAAGACAGCGGCGGACATACTCATCCTGAGTACGGGGGTCCGTCACACTTGTGCCTTTACTTTTTTTTTTACTTAGGAAATATTTTTACTTTGTGTATGTTTAGTTTAAGTAACAAATCAGATTAAAGGGTAAGTTTACTTTTCTGACCATATTTCATGTTACACCCATTTTTAAAGTGTGTCATTTAACATGGTCCGATCACAACTCCACCCCCCCCCACACCTTATATTGCAAGTTCTTCTCCCCACAGGCTTGTGTACATTTTTAAATTTGGTACAGCTGCATGGCTCTGCCCACACAGCCGCATCATACATGTACAGGATCTGTAAATGGAGAAAATACAACTCCCATCAGACATCAGGGCAGAGGGACTTGTAGTTCTCAGTGGATGTCATTAGGAATGCACCAATATCAGTTTTTCGGTATCTAGTACGAGTACCAAAAATTTTTTTGCGGGTACTCGCCAATACAGAATACAGATACCAGAACTTCCGGCCACAGGGCCATTAAGGAAGCCATGCGGTGCGTAATGATTCACCTCCCAGCTTCCTGATTACCCAGGAAGCCACGTCACCAGGAAGCCAGAGTCATTACCTGCCCCCACGTAAGCCGGCTCCATGCTCCCCAGTGATGAGGGAGCATGGAGCCGACTACACGGCCAATCAGGAAGCCAGGCAGCGAGTCATTACCCACTGCCTGGCTTCCTGCTTGGCCGGGAAACCATCTCCATGCTCCCTCGCGGCACTGCCAGTCAGAGGGATTACCCCTCCTAACGGAAGTCGGAGGTAAGTATCAGATCAGAGGTGATCGGAGGTAAGTATCGAGTACTAGCCCAAATACTCAGTATTGATGCATCCCTAGATGTAACTACACTTGCATTCCATTGACACATCCTCCTGTCCATGTTGTTGAATGTGTGTGCCTCATGGGTGGGAGGAAGAGTCTGCAGGAGCCAGAGCATTGCACCAGTGATCCATTAATCATATTTGCAACGCCTTACTTGCTCCAATGAAGAAAAATAATAAATGCACATTTTTTTTCTTTTATGAAGACGTGTGCATTTACTTTTTTTTTTAATCAAAAAGATGGAATTTGTATTTATTTTTAGATTTTATAATTTGCCTGAATCCAACCAGGTGTCCACTACACCAAGAATTGCACGGCATACATAAAGTAGAGTGCATTGCACAGTACTTCCTCCAGGCACTGCAGTGCAGTTAGAAATCTGGTGATTTTAGGAATCACTCTATCTTGTTTGTGGTGCAGGAGAGGTATTTACAAATGCTCCTACTGAAAGCTTCTTGCTTGCTCACATACAGAAAGTGTGATGTATCAGTGCTAAGTTGAGTAGAGTTCCTCCATCACCACCGATTCAGATCCATACCTTCCTTGGAAGATACATGTGATTGCTTTTGTTGGAAGCAGAGACAAAAAGAGCAGCAGAAGTGATGCTGATTCAGGAAGCAGATCCATCCGCATTACATGTAAGACGCTGTTTGGAATCTGGCTACCAGGGATCACACATGCTACGCAACTTCCATACTGATTGAATACACTTTGCAGACAAACACAGGCCATAATGTGTTTTTCTGCAAAAAAAATACTCCTTTACTAAATCAGCCCCATAATTTGTATGTAGGGTATTGGATATTGTAGTGTGTAAATTCCTCTGTCATTATGAAGTGAGTAACCTAAATGCTCTCTTCCTGAAACGATCAAATGTGCTGCTTTCAGCATACTGGTCGTGATTCACCTTTAGCTCAGTGTTACTGAATGGTATAACTGGTACCGGTATGTTTCTTCATGTTAGGGAAATGTTAAATGACATTCTATCAGGCTGTGCCAGTCACGATAATGAGTATATGTGGCTTTAATCATATTCATCATCAGACTAGTGACATCTAG